AAAGTGGAAATTGTCTCTTCAAAATTTCAAGGAGATCTGTGCACATGTGTAGTAGAACCCTCCGAGGGTGGGCCTGGGGTGTCCAGTAGCTCAGGCACCCCTATAGCCACCAGAATGGAGGTGCGCAGACAGCAAGGGACCAATGAACAGATACCAAAAGAAAAGAACCCCCACACCTTAATCTCCGCAGTTCTGTCAGGCATCCGTGGCTGCTCTGATCCTTTCCCCACTTGGTATCACCCAAGATGGTGGCTCCTGGAGCAGCTGAGCGTCTTGAATTAGAAAGCAATGGATTTCTTACTTCTGTTACAAATTTCCTTAGCTGTAAGCCTTCCAACCTTCTAAATATTCCTTTATATGTGGTTCAGAGTTCTGAGACCATCCCCTGAGCCTGCTTGGTCCTGTATTCTACGTTGTTACTGACAGAGCTCCTTTCTGCACTTCCACTTGATCTGCCATCTTGTTTGTTCTCTTACAATTTGATGATTTTGACCTATACATATGGATGTTGTTGTTGTTGTTAGGTGCCATCGAGTTGGTACCGACTCATAGTGACTTTATGCACAGCAGAATGAAACCCTGCCCAATCCTTGGCCAACCTCACTACTGTTGCCACACTTGAATCTATCGATGCTGCCACTTGGCCAATCCATCTCGTTGGAGGTGGGGTCTTCCTCTTTTTATCTGACCCTCTACCTTGTTAAACATGATATCCTTCTCCAGCAACTGCTCCCTCCTGACTATATGACCGAAGTATGAGAGACGAAGTTTGGCCATCTGGCCTCCAAGGAGCACTCTGGCTGGCACTACTTCCAAAACGGATCTATTGGTTCTTTTGGCAGCCCATGGCACTTTCACTATTCTCCTCCAACACCATAACTCAAAAGCATCAATTCTTCTACAGTCTTCCTTATTCACTATCTAGCTTTCGCATGCATACGAAGTTACTGAAAATACCATGGCTTGGGTCAGGCACACCTTAGTCCTCAAGCTGACATCTTTGCTCTTCAACACTTTCAAAAGGTCTTGTGCAGCAGATTTGCCTAATGCAATACGTCGTTTGATTTCTTGACTGCTGCTTCCGTCAAGTAAAATGAAGTCCTTGACAACTTCAATCTTTTGTCTTTTGATAAGAATGTGTTTATTGATCCAGTGGTGAGGATTTTTGTTTTCTTTACATTGAGATGCAATCTATACCAAAGGCTGTGCTCTTTGACCTTCATCAGTAAATATTTAAGTCCTCTTCACTTTCTGCAAGCAAGGTTGTATCATCTGCATATCGCAGGTTGTTAATGAGTCTTCCTCCAAACCTAATGCCACGTTTTTCTTCATAGAACCCAGCTTCTCGGATGATTTGCTCAGCATACAGGTTGAATAAGTATGGTGAAAGAGATGTAGTAGCTCAAAATACCAACTGAGCGAGGAGGAGTCTTCACATCAAGGATCATTTCTATCCCCTCTATACACAGGATTGACAGGGACAGGCAAATTAGACATTGGCTACCTAATGGGGGAGCTATAAAGCATGAAGTGATTGGCTTACAAGTTTTCAAGAAGGAGTTCCATTTCAGAGTGTGTGTGGGAAGGTAGAATCCCCATTAGACAGGTCTGGTGAAAAGAGATGGGGAGAAGATTCTTATGATTCAATAGTGAGTAACTGTTATCATAATTACCACAACTGTATAGGTAGAAGTTTTGTAACATAAAGGGTGAGTAGTTAATCTTACATTCCAGGAACAGAGGACCCTAGAACCATCACGGGAGAAGAGCAGGAGCAGAATGTGGGACCCTATCCAGAGAAGCAGCAACACCAGAAACACCAGAGATGGAGGCAGAGATGATGACATGGAGAGAGAGCAGCCAAGGACTCTAGACTCATGGAAAGAGAAAGGCTGTGCGCTGACAGCCAGGAGGCAGGCATGCAGAATGTGCCCTTTGGTTGTTTAAATGATTATATATTCCTGAAAGTTTTTGTGTACATGAAAAAAAAGAGGGAATAGAAGCAAATGCTGTTGAATGATGATGCATGGAGGGAATTGTAATCATTGCAATGAAACAAAATACGATAGGATGAGTATATAAAATCGATGTTCTCCCATGTAAACAATCACTCAATTTACAATAAAAACTTTAAAAAATAAAGATATTGTTAAGGATCTAAATAAAAACTAAAGATTAAGATAAGGTATTTAGATCTTAGACTAACTGGCTCCACCACTTATTAGCCAAGTGCTTATTAACCTGTTCTCCATTTCTCTGTCTCTAAAATGGAAACTCTACTACCTCGCTCAGAGTCCTGGCATGGTGCTGTATGATAAGCTCAGGACCACAAGGTCTGTGTGAACCACAGGGTTGGTGGCTCAAACCTGCCAGCCGCTCCCTGGAAACCCTACATAGGGTCATTATGAGTTGACAGCACCAAAGAACAACACAACACCCAAATTCAAGGGCCACACTGCTGTGGGTTAGGCGTTGGGCTGCTCACCACAAGGTTGGCAGTTCAAAACCATCAGCCACTCCAGGCCAGACAGATGACGCTGTCTGTTTCTGTAAAGATTTACAGAAACCCCATATAAGGTGACTATGAGTCAGAAGCAACACAATGGCAAAGGGTTTACCAGCTAGCTTAAAAAAGCTATTCCAGACTAAATGGGATAATTCATGTAGACCCACATCTAGTAATATTCTGACAAATATTTAGCAGATGGCAGTTGTTTTATTATTATGAATTTTTATAACAGTTCTGGGAATACAAGTAGAAATGATACGTCCATCAATTAAAACAGGACACCCTCTAGCTTTAATTAGCTTATAAGCCTTAGCCCAATCTGATTTTTTTCCATAAGATCAAAGGATTCATTCTGGTTTGGTTTTACTTTTCTCCTTTAATGAAACGTAACTCCTCTGCTAGTTAGCCAACACGAGTATTCGGTCTTTGAAAAGTACGTACAGTGCCACTGCTGAATCCAAGCTCAGTGCGGGCAGCGTGCACTCTTTTTGTTTGTTTGTTTACTTAGAAGGCTGGTGGCCAGTGAAGCACACTGTCAAAGCCATGGTTCTACCTTGGTCTAGGTCAAGTCATAACATGTTTTCAAAGGCTACCAGGATGCTCAGGTGAAATAAGAAGTTAATGAAGTTGATGGGGCTAAACTATCTAGGAGCAGAAAAATGAAAGCGGGACTCTATCAGAGCATCTTAAAGCTTCATCTGATCAATCTATGAGCTGCTACTCTGGCATCCAGCCTAGGGGCATGGCCAGCCACATCTGGGGATTAGGGTGTATCTCTGTTAGAGGCAGAGAAGAGCCCACTGAGTTAGGAACCTGGTGAAAGGCCGGCTTGCCTTTGTGAGGCTCACTATCTTTTACATTAAATTCTCCGAGGTTTTGAAAACAGTAAAAAAAAAAAAAAATTAAAAATACATTAAGTATATGTCTCCATTGGATTATTAATGCATACCAAATTCTAAAGATATTACCTCGCTTTATGAAAAATGAATCTGCACTACGTTTGCCAAAACATTGAGTAAAAGCAGTTTCCATCCACTGTAAAATGCTTCAGTTCCCTTCTGAGCAGTTATAAATGACTTTAAAATGATCAATTTCCTGTTGGAATAAGTTCGACCAACTCAGGAAAAAGAAAATCAGAACTGGGAAAAAGCTATTAGTGGGCCCTCAAAAAAGACATGGAAGACAGAAAGAAAGAAACAGAGAGGAGAACCAGTGAATTAATTTAAGACTCAGAATGGGTGGCCCCTTCACCCCAGCCTCTCTTAAGACTCCGGGTGAGGGAGGGAGGAAATGCAACACATTAAACTGAAAAGCCAAAAACAGAGAGTGCACTGCGTTCGGGTCTGTTGAGCAAAGAAACAAAAACAACGCTGGATGCTACACTGCCTCTAGAGTTCTAAGAACTCTAAGAAAAGCACATTATTTGCCAAAGCCAGCTCAGATAAAGAAATCCGATGAGCAGAATTACTGTGTAAAACTACATAGTGACAGGTACCAGAAAGGTAAAGGTCTGTGTGTATGGAAGAGAGCAAGGGCAAGACACGACACTGAGCATTTAGAGAATAAATCTTTAGAATAAGCATTTAGAAAATACTATTTACAAAGAGAGATGGAGGTGATCTCTAAGAGTCGGAACCTACTAGGACGACACTTAACAATAACCATGCACACTGAATTCCAAGCTTGATCATCTGCGGGGCCAGAGACCTACAGGAAACCACAGCTTCTGACACAAAACGCCAAAGGCAGACAAGTCACTAGAGCTCACGGGCAGGAGGGGCTAGTTCTTGAAGAAGGACATCATGCTTGGTAAAGTAGAAGGCCACTGAGGAAGAGGAAGGCCCTCCACAAGATGGACTGACACCGTGGCTGCAACACTGGGCTCACATAGCAGTGACTGTGAGAGCGGTACAGGTCCAGGCAGGCTTTCGTTCTATTATATGTTGGGTTGCTGTGAGTCAGAACTGAGCTGATGGCTCCTAACGAACGACAACACTAACAACAACAAATGGGCAGTAGAATGTGCTATGCACACTGTAAGCTTTGTTATGCAAAATGGAATCGGTAGAAAGTTCTCTATCTGAACAAAACATAAATCAGACTTTCAAGCATCTGTAACCGTACATTCACATAGCATTTATATTACAAAGAACTTCCAGGCACTTTATAAATTCCAAAAGCAATGATCCCGTGCCACTTGAATTTTACAAGATGGGGAAGGAGAGGCCAAATTCCTGCAGCATATGGAAGTCCTGGTGCCCATACCCATCCTTGGAATGTCCTCCTGGCCTCTGAGCCACTCTCCACCTCCAGTAAGACATGGACAGAAACTTCTTCTGTCTCACTCTGGCACAACTTCCACCTCCCTACAGCGCCCCCAAATGTACATCACACACAGAGCAAAAGACACCCCCAAGATTCATGTGACTCTGAGGACTCTGCTTTCATAGTGTGTTGGGGAAACGACAAGAAGAGACAAAGAAAGCCTTACCTGCTTCATCTCTCCAATGTGAATGTGATCTTTTTGTTTCTCTTCATATAAACATCTCAGGAAAGAAATAATCAATTCATTCTCCCGCTGCTCATTTCTTGGTCTCAGTTTCTTAACAAACAAACAATGCATTACATTTATTTTTCATTGTCAACAAAACCGTTACCTATCCCTTTGGAAACGCTAATTGCTTCCACCCCTCCATTAAGTGTGCTACTGGTGTGGAGCAGCAGGATAAGCACTGGACTGTGAACCACAAAGTCAATGGTTCAAATCCCCCAGCTGCTCATGGGAATCCTGCATTGGGTCACTATGAAGCAGCTGGAATCCACTGCTGTTGTTAAAGTGATGTGGAGTTGGTTCCGACCCATAGCGACCCTGTACAGGGTTTCCGAGGAGCAGCTGGTGAGCTTGAACCACCAACCTTGCAGTTCAAATGGCTTTGCAGTCTGGTGCATTAACCTACAGCGCCACACCAGGACTCCACTAGATGGCACTTAATAATCCATTGTGGTTAAGTACCTTCCAGTAGGTTCCAAGTCATAGCTAGTGATTTTACACAATCATCTCACTAGGGGTCACCAGCGATCTGAAAAGAGCAGAGAACTTTAACACAGAGCAGGCACTGGGACTGGTAGGCCAGCTTTAACATTTAATCTCTGACATCCTTATATCTAAAATAAATATTTCACATTAGACAGAGGCCTAGTCAAAATGTATGACAAATAAATAGTTTCTGAAACATAAGGAAAGATTAAAATCTGTGCAAACACCCGGAGGTCAAGCGCCATTAATAACTACATGTTTGTAAGCTCTTATGGTTAAGGGAACTGGAAAGAAAAATAGAAATGGAATTCAGGGTCATGGTCCCACATGTAAAATGTGGGAGTTGTCAGATACTTTGTGGAAACCCTCTACACAAAACATCATGGCTGGAGACTCCGTTTATTTTTTCTTTCTTCAATCCAACATCTTTTCTTTTTCAAAAGCAGATCTGGTAGTGGATTGTTGAGCTGCTAACTGCAAGGTCAGCAGGACAAATCCATCGGCCACTTTGCGGGAGAAAGAGGAGGCTTACTAGTTCTGTGACGATTGACAGCCTTGGAAACCCTGTGCAGGGTCGCTATGTGTTGGAACTGACTCAAGAGCAGAGGGTTTCTTTGCCAGACAAGGTAGTGGCAAAGCACATCCAGGATTCTCCAGGTTCCAGCTGTTGCCTGGAAGTGTGACCAAAGGCAGGTCATTGACTCCTAACTTACTCATTTGTTAATGTGAAGATGGTGAAAATGTGATCCATTCCAAGGTCCCCTCCAGCTCTCTAATAATTTGGATTTGAGAGATCAGTCGGACTCAGTTTTTGAAAGATCACTTAAATCAATGTGGGGAAGGAGTCCTGGTATGGCGCGGTATGATAAGCACTCGACCTCAAGGTGGGTTTGAACAAGGTCAGTGGTTCAAACTCACTAGCCACTCCTTGTATACAGGGTCTCTATGAGTCAGAAGTGACTTGATGGCACTTGACAACAACAACAACATCAATGAGTAACTTTCTCTGAATATGACTCAAAAACTGAATTCACATGGCTATATACAAAGCTGTAAACAGTGAATCTATATCTTCTTTATTGGGGATTATCCAGCTCTTCCTCTTCCAATTCCAAAGGTCTAGCCTGTCCTTTAAAACAAACTCAAATCCCAGAACTGTATGGATTATCAATGAAAAAATACGGACAAACTTAAGAGTTCTAGTATAAGGCATACATAGACTACTATACATGGCAAAAGGTACACCAACAAGAGAGAATAAATTAGATGACTGGGACATACTAAAAATTAGAAATTTACGTTCATAAAAAGAATTCACCAAAAGATTAAAAAGGGAGACCACAGAATGGGAAAAAATCTTTTGCAATGACACATCAGATAAGGGACTAATGTCTAAAATTTATAGGAAACTACAACTCATCTGAAGAAAAATATTCAAGCCTCGACTTTTGTTATTGAATGATGCAGAAAGCATCAAGAGAAGATGGAAGGAATACACAGAGTCACTGTACCAAAAGGAAATGGTTCATGTTCAACCGTTTCAAGAGGTAGCATATGATCAAGAGCCAGTGATACTGAAGGAGGAAGTCTAGGTGCATAGAAGGAATTGGCAAAGAACAAGGCACCAGGAACTGATGGAATACAACTTGAAATCTTTCAAGAAAGTCAGGAGGCACAGGAGGCACTCACTCATCTCTGCCAAGAAATTTGGAACAAAACTATCTGGCCGACTGATTGGAAGTGACCCATATGTGTGCCCATTCCAAAGAAGAGGTGACCTAACAGAACGCAGAAATCATCGGACAATCTTTTTGATATCCCATGCCAGTAAAGGTTTGCTGGCATGGACAGAGAACTTCCAGAGGTTCAAGCTAGATTCAGAAGAGGCCGTGGAACGAGAGATATCATTGCTGATGTCCGATGGATCATGGCTGAAAGCAGAGAATATCAGAAGAATGTTTACCTGTGTTTTACTGACTATGCAAAGGTTTTTGATTGTGTGGACAACATTGGGAAGTATGAGTATTCCAGAACACTTAATTGTGCTCATGAGGAATCTGTACCTAGACCCAGAAGCAGAACATGGGAACAATGAATGGTTTCAAATTAAAAATGGTGTGCGACAAGGTTGTATTCTTTCACCATACTTATTCAACCTGTATACTGAGCAAATAATCTGAGAAACTGGATTATATGAAGAAAAACATGGCATCAGGATTGGAGGAAGACTCATTAATAACCTGCGATATGCAGATGATACAACCTTGCTTGCTGAAAGTGAAGAGGACTTAAAACACTTACTAATGAACATCAAAGAGCACAGCCTTCCATATGGATTACATCTCAATGTCAAGAAAAACAAAAATCCTCCCCACTGGACCAATAAACAATATTCTTATCAACTTTGAAAAAATTGAAGTTGTCAAGGACTTCATTCTTCTTGGATCAACTATCAACACTCACAGAAGCAGCAGTCAAGAAATCAAACAATGTATTGCATTAGACAAATCTGCTGCACAAGACCTTTTTAAAGTGTTGAAGAGCAAAGATGTCAGCTTGAAGACTAAGGTGCACCAAACCCAAGATATGGTATTTTCACTAACCTCATATGCATGTGAAAGCTGGACAGTGAATAAGGAAGACCGCAGAAGAATTGATGCTTTTGAATTATGGTTTTGGAGGAGAATATTGAAAATGACATGGGCTGCCAAAGAACCAACAGATCTGTGTTGGAAGTGCTGCCAGAGTGCTCCTTGGAGGCCAGGATGGTCAGACTTCGTCTCTCATACTTCTGACATATCGTCAGGAGGAACCAGTCGCTGGAGAAGGATATCATGTTTGTTAAGGTGAAAGAGAAACGTCAGATAAAAAGAGATGGATTGGCAATGTGGCCACATCAATGGGGTCAAGCGTGGCAACAGTAGTGAAGTTGGCCCAGAATCAGGCAGTGTTTCATTCTGCTGTTCATAAGATCGCTATTAGTCAGTACCGACTTGATGGCACCTAACAACAACAATATACATCAGATTGCCATGAGTTGGAAGTTACTCAACAACATGGATCCAGGTTAAGAGAAGCCGATAGTCATTACAAGGGGCAGCCAGACAGGTTCAGGGTCCTGAGGGCTGACCCATTGTTTCCTTTTCTGCATCTTTAATTAAAACTAATTAATGAATCAAAATCATTTTCACAGGAAAAAGTTTATTTTGCTTTTTGAAATTCTTCACAATTGTGTATTTCAAAGTATTGAAAGTCGAGTGACGTAAGAATGTACTAATAAAAGGAATGCTATCAATGTATTTTTGTGAAAATACATCAGGGTTAGTAAAAAATTATCTGCACTCTGGTAATTGCATATTTATCAATATTTATTGATAAAATAGAATTTATTTTCATCAACTTTTAAGAAAAGACAAATACATCATTTTTGACATAATCTCCTTGCTTTTCAATATACTTTATCCATCTGTCAACAAGCTTCCATATTCCCTTATTTAAAATGTTTTAGACTGAGCTGTAAGACACAGATGCACTGCTGTCTTCACATCTTCATCAGAGGTGAATCTCAAAGGGTGGCTCTCAGGGGACAAACAGGTGAAAGTCCAATGGAATTAGATCAGGACTATAGGGATGATGCTATAACCCCTTCAAAATGAAGTTTTTCCAGAGTGTAAAACAGTGTGGGCACAGATGTGCAGACGTGCATTGTCACGCAAGAGCACAATGCCCTTGGAGGCCAGTCCTGAGTTTAATCTGAAGTTTAGGCTTCAGCTCTTCAGTGAGCATCTCACTATAAGAAGCCCTGTTGATTGTTGAACCTTTTTCCTGATATTGTTCCAACACTGGCCCTTGAGAATCCCAGAAATTGTAAGCATCTATTTTCCAGCTGATGGTTGACTTTTGAACCTTTTCCTTGGTCGGTGACTGAGGATGTTTCCATTCAATACTCTACCATTCCATCTCTCAGGCTCGTAGTGATGACTCCATGTCTTGTCACCAGTGCCACTTTAAGAGACGCTTACCTTCTTTCAAGTATCAGTTTAAATTTTGTTTGCAGATGTCCAAACACTTTTGTTTATACTTTTCTATGAGTTGTTTTGGTACCCATCTCTCACAAACTTTTTGAAACCCAAGTCTACCGTGGATAATTTATTATTGCATAGGCAGAACCATGGTTGATTTGCAGATGACTTGCCACACAATCCACTGTCACTCATCTGTTCAGCGCAGTCAACTCATGTGCATACTCAATGTTGTAATCACCTGTGGACTTGGACAGGCATTTTAATATAACCAGAGTGCGTGTAATCTTTTGACTCACCCTCGTACATGACACTATTCAGATAGGCAGGAAATGAAATGACAACTGAACATAATACAATCATTACTTTCCCTAAAAAATGTGTCACCAATCTTATTAAGTATCAGAGGACAAATCACTAATATGGTTCTGGTTTCCCAGAAGGTCAAGAAACCAATCTTTTCTTAAATTTGAAGCATGACTAGAGGTTATTCTTCCAAAGAACTCAAAAAGATCAACAAGGGTTCATCTCCTCAATGCCTTCACTAGCCTCAATAGTGGTAAACCAGCACTTCTAAAAGGTCATTTAATTTTAGACATATCCAAGGAATATAAAGAGAAATCAAGCTGGATCAACATTTTTTTTAGACAAAAAAATAACTTGTTTGGTCAAAACTAATGCACAGGGTCAGAAAACAGGGTGGTGACTGCCTGGGAGCAGACATACGTAGTGGACAAGAGGAGGTTTTAGGGTGCTAGAAATATTCTAGTTCTAAGTCTGGGTGCTAATGCTACTGTTGTTGGTAAGTGCCACCAAGTTCATTCTAATTCAGCGACCCTGTGTAGGGTTTCCAAAAAGTGGCTGCTGAGTTTAAACTGCCGACCTTATGGTTAGCAGTACAGTGTTTACCCTACAGTACCACACGAGGACTCCTGCAGAGATGTATTCACCTTATAAAAAAAAACTGAATTATCCACCACTGATTTATTCCTTTCTCTGTATGAATGTCATATCTCAGTTGAAAAAAGAAAAACATATAATAACAATTACCTGTTATATAGCAAAACTGAACTTGTTACATGTTTCTGAACCTTGTGTCTTTTAAGGAACTGATAAACTGGTTGCACAGGCAATTCGAAAAGGAATTTCTAATACTAGCCATTCAATTCCATCATGTTGAGAAAATCTACTGACTTTCAGATGAATCATTTAGATTCACTTGGACACCTCATTTTGTATCTTTTTCTTTTAAATGAAATCACATCTCACATGTTGATGTGGTTCGTGGTGGTGTTGTTAGGTGCCATCGAGTCAGTACTGATCCATAGCGACCTTATGCACAGCAGAACGAAACACTGCCCGATCCTGGGCCAACCTCACTACTGTTGCCATGCTTGAGTCCATCCACTTGGCCAATCCATCTCAATGGGGTCTTCCTCTTTTTCTCTGACCCTCCACCTTACCAAACGTGATATCCTTCTCTAGTAACTGGTCCCTCCTGACAATAGAGCCGAAGTACGAGAGTCGATGTGGTTAGGTTAGACCCATTGCTGTTTCATTGATTCCAATTCAAAATCACAATATAGCAGAGTAAACGTGCCTGGTAGGTTTCCAAGGGTATAATCTTCATGAAAACAGATGACCACAGCTGTTTCCTGTGGAATAGCCGGCAAATTCAAAGTAGCGACCTTTGGGTTTTTCAGTTAGCAGCTGTGCCACCAGGCTTCCTTGACTAGTTTGTTGTTGCTGTGAAGTGCTGTTGAGCTGGTCCTGACTCATAGCACCTCTGTACAGGGTTTCAAGAAGCTGGTGGTGGGTTTGAATTCCCAAGCTTGTGGTTAGTCTATAATAGTAACCAGCTATTGACTGAATCAAATACTAAGTTGGTACCGACCCATAACCACCTTATGCACAGCAGAATGAAACACTGCCCGATCCTGGGCCAACCTCACTACTGTTGCCATGCTTGAGTCCGTCGATGCTGCCACTTGGCCAATCCATCTTTTTCTCTGACCCTCCACCTTACCAAACATGATATCCTTCTCCAGCAACTGGTCCCTCCTGACAATATGTCCAAAGTATGAGAGACAAAGTTTGGCCATCTTGGCCTCCAAGGCGCACTTCTTCCAAAACGGACCTAGCATCATAGCAGTATGCAAGTCATCATAGTATTTAACAAACTGACAGACCAGTGACAGATGTAAATAACTACCTCAGCAGGCTTCAAAAGTTCACGGAAGACAGCCATTATCTTCCAATTCCATTTTCCACAAACAGTTTTTCAAGCCCCGTGGTAAGTATATCATTACTTACTAAGAAATTAAACAGAGTGTGTGGCCCCGGGCAAAGTTGCTGCAACAAGACCTCTTTACAGTATTAAAAAGCAAACATATGACTTTGAGAACTACAGCACACCAAAGTCTTGAAAGCTGTACAATGAATAAGGAAGACCAGAGAAGAAACACATCTGTCTTGCAAGAAGTACAATCAGAATGTTCTCTCAAAAGGAGGGTGGCGAGACTGTCTCATATACAGTGGACATGCTATCAGAGAGACCTGTCTGGACAAGAACATTATGCTTGGTAAAGCAGAGGGTCAGAGACAAAGAGGAAGACCCTCAAAAAGAGATGGCTGGGCACCGTGGCTGAAACAATGGGCTCAAACATCACATCAATGGTGAGCACCGCGCAGGACCAAGCAGTTCCCTCTGCTGTGCATGAGGCGACAGCACCTACCAACAGCAGACAGTACTGTCTAAATAAACAAGAAAAGCTTCACTAGGGGAAGGCTGTGCACTGCTGAAAGTGGCCTGGCAGCACCCCGACCAGCAGGCTGTTGGCACCGAGGAGTGAAACAGGCCCTGGCTTCAACTGTAAGTGTTGCAACAACCAGGAGCACATTATCAGTCCATCGTGAATTCCAAGTAAGGAGCACAGTTAAGTCTGTCCAAGATCATTTCGTACACAGAACTCTAAAGATACTTCAAGAAAATCACAGAGCAGTAACTCTCCAGTGGATACAGAAGAAAGCCGGAACATTTAAAGGGAACTGAGGGAAGATAATGTGAGAATTACCCTCCAGGCTGTTTGTAAAGTAAAAATGCATCCTGTGCTTTCTCTCCAAAAAAATGCACACCACATCTGTTGTCAAGAAAACCAGGAAATAAGAGAATTCTAAACCATAAAAAGCACAGCCTAGAAAACCTTCTGAGGCAGTTCTTCTACATTGTCACATGAGGTCACAGTTGAGTAGAAATCATCTCCCCAACATCTAACAATAACATGTGGTTTAAAAGAAAAATACAGTCCAAACAGCTTATGGACTATATCCACACAGTCTTCCTCCCAAGGGGAAGGAGAGTGGACATAAGCCCACTGTGCTGCTACCGTCATTGATTCATTCAATAAGCGATCTAATGTTCAACTCCTGAGCCCACCCGACACCCAATAATTGTTGTTGTTGTTGTTAAGTACCATGGAGTGGGTTGTGACTCATAGTGGCCCTGCATAGGGTTCCGAGGCTGTAAATCTTTACGGGAGCAGACCGCCTTATCTTTCTCCCGCGGAACTGCTGGTAGTTTTGAACTGCCGACCTTGAGGTTAGCAGCCCGATTCATAACCACTATGCTACCAGAGCTCCTTAATGTTGTTGTTAAGTGCCGTCAATTCGTTTCCAACTCAGACTCACCCTACATAAGAGTTTCTGAGGAGCACCTGGTGGTTTGAACCACCCACTTTGCAGTTAGCAGTCTAGTGCTTATCCTACAGCACCAAACCAGGGCTCCACACCCAACAGGAGATATTTATTCTCTGCTCTGATGTGCTCTTACTGACAAAGTTCCAGGAAGCCACAGAAAATGTCCCTCGACTAAGACAGACATGGAATTTTTGAAGGGCTCAGGGTAAGATTCATAATGAACAGACTGCAGGCATGCCAACATGTGTGTGGGGGGGGGGAGGACAGGGGGTCTATAATGCAAGGAAACAGGTAATTTCCAACTAGTCATGCAGAAAGCCAGTGAGTTTCTCTATTTTTTCTGTTCTTTTTTAAGGTTTGATAGACTATAGGATGTCTAGTGTGGTGCTGTAAGATCAACTCTGGGCTGCAAACCACAAGATCAGAGGTTCAAATCCACCTACTACTCCTCAGAACTGTAACCAGGGTTGCTATGAGTCAGAATTGACTTGACGGCACTTAACAATAATAATATTATAGGCCTTCAGTGGATAACATGACCTAAATTTATTTTCAAAACAAAACAAAAGGAAGCGTAATTATGTTCATTTTCATGTACAAAACATTGCCTCCTTCAAATTCCACACATAGGCTTGAGTTTCTGAATGGAAAGGCTTTCTCATTGCAACTGGAGGGAAAAAGCCTTCCACTTGTGGTATTTGTATTCTATCAGCACTGGGTACCAAGGTTGCCTCTCTCTGGTTCCAAGGCTTCACTGTTGAAGCCATCTGACCACGAAAGCTAAGACTTTCTGGGGAGGAATCTGTCATTCTGACCTGGCCCCTCTACAGGGACTGTTGTACTTAAACCAAAAGGACATCGGTGCCACCTCCTCAGTGTTACAATGGGACCAGTTGCTATTTTTCATAGACAATATTTTGAAGGTAAACTGCCTGCCTTTTATTCTAAAAGTTAAAAATGAATACAGTACCTGAACCTCCTCAAAAACCATTGCTTGTTCCTGGTTAGTTAAGGTTGTGAGGTGCTTCTGGAGTTCTAGTTTGGTTTTGGAAGTACTCATTCCTATTGAGAAAAGAGGAGGAGAAGAGACATGAAAATGCTCAACATGGAAGTTATGAGGCGAAGTTACTTAACACCTTGCATACCCAGTCCCTTCAGAGCCCCACCCACCCGACTGCTTGGCATTACACGACATCTCAACTTGCTGCAGGCTCTTACGATTCGATGGGAAGTCTACTCAAAGATGAAGATGACAATAGCAACAAGCATCTTTGTAAACTTCTTGCAAATTGAGGGCAGGTTTACAGAGCAGATCATCGATCTTACATTCGACAAATCAGACAGTTGGTTTCATCTCAACTGCTCTCCCCTCAATGTAAGATCACACATCCCACTTCCTCGCTGGGTTTCATGTTTCCATTCATCCTCCTTTTCCCACCCTTCTGAATTTGTCAGGGAACAAATGCTGCCCTCCTAACCCTGGTGTGGCCCTGTGGGTTAATGCACTGGTGGTGGTGGTTATGTGCTGTGGAGTTGGTTCTGACTCATAGCAACCCTGTATAGGGTTTCCAAGGATGTAAATCTTTACAGAAGCACAAAACCTCATCTTTCTCCTGTGGAACAGCTGGTAGTTTCGAATTGTTGACCTTGAGGTTTGCAGCCCGATTCGCAACCACTACAGCTCAATGCGCTGGAGACTGCAAAGTTGGTTTGAACCACAAGGTTGGCGGTTCAAGCTCATCAGCCACTCCTTGGAAACCCTATACAGGGTCACTATGGGGTGAAACTGTCTCAATGGCACTTAACAACAACAACAACCGTCTTGAATGGTTAAGCATTGTATGGTGTACGTACCTCATTAGGGTTGTCCCTTTATATACCCATTGCTTGGCTGCTAATTGATCCACAGGGATGGAACTAACATTTTAAAATTGAGCCTTCAGGCCTCTGCCTGTCTTTTCTGTGTCCCCCGTGGATGAGCTACTAGGCAGGATTTGGCAAAACCTCCAAGCAGGAGAACAGTGTCAGATGTACCTCCCTAACTTAGGATGACCAGGCCCACTGATGAGTCGGTGTCCCCCAGAATCAATTCACCTCCCTCCCATTCCACAGCATCCCTAACAGGGAGGCCGAGGGTAGAGGTTGATGCCCAAATACAAACCACTGCAGTTCTCTCGCCTCCCCGAAAATTGTCAGCCTTGTCTGTTTGAAACCATACAAAGAACAGCCAATATTTCTTAAGTGATTGGTCTGCCGCTTTGCTAAACACTGTACATGCATAATCCTGTGCCGTGTGCTATTGCTAATGTCCCCATGTACTGGGGTCCCTAGGTCATGCCAACAGGTAACTTGCTTGGTGACTAGTGGTTTGAGTCTACCCAGAGGGTCCTTAGAAGCAAGGACTGGTGGTCCTCTTCTGAAAAATCAGCCATGCGAAAGCCCGTGGAACACAGTTCCACTGGTCACCAGGAGCTGGCTCGGTTTTTTAAATGTTATCAATGAAGAAATTGAAGCACAGCAAAGTCAGAATTTTGCCCAAGGTCACCAGCTAAGTAAGAAAAAGAGTCAGACTCTGAACCAGTATCTGTCTGCCTCCAGACACCAAACTATTAAGCCTCTACTGTCTCCCTCAAGTCACCTGCCTTATGGGTGGCTTCAAATCAAAAGATGTAGGTCCAAGTGCAAAGCATGTAGATGGGTTCTGCCAGAATGCAGTCCACTTAACACTTCTGGTAAGCTATCAGGCCATACAGGCCAGGGAGCAGGTACCAGATGTCACTGTATTAACTACTTAAACATTGTATTTAATTGTGTTTACGATAAGCACTCCATAATCAATAACTAAAAACCCTCCCCAAATACGATGGGTCTCTCACAGTCTTAAGCCCATTTTGGAAATATACTGTTTGATGAAACTTTCACGTGTTGCGGAGGGGGGAAATGCAAGTTCAATTATGTACTCTTAACAGCCTTTACCAAAATCATGAAGTTGAGACTATTTTTCACGTTCAGCATGTATGAAGAAACCCTCTAAGGCAGAGGTAGAGAACGTTTTTCTGCCAAATTTTTAACAACAATTGCGGGCCACACAAAATTATCAACTTAAAAATTAGCCTGCTGTATTGGGCCAAACATTTAATTGTTGTTATTGTTACTGTTGTTGAGTGCCATCGACTCGGTTCTGACCCATAGCGACCCTGTATAAGGTTTCTGAGGAGCAGCTGGTGAGCTTGAACTGCTGACCTTGTAGTTCAAAGCGACTTTGCAGTCCAGCACATTAACCCACAGCGCCACATTTAATCAACTCACCCCTAATGCAATGGCTGTAACTGCAGTTGCCTTGGCTGGGCCAGCGGGCCGGACGCTCCCAGCCTGCTCTGTGCAGTGTTCACACGCATCTTTAGTATGCTTCAGCTCACTTAGCCTTTTTTACCCACCACAAGACAGAGCACTCAGTCTCCACGATTCGCTCACCTAGCCCCTCCCACCGGTCTCTCACCACCAGCGGCCTCCTCAGTGGGTGGGTTCTGCCGCAAGGTTCCATGTCCATGGCACCCACACAGAGAAGCCCATGCAACATCAAAACTGTTTATGGGGGAACAGAGATTTAAGACCAAAGCACCACAGGACAATCAGGATGAAGGAGATTCCCGAAGTACAGCTAATCCCCTCCATCATCGGTGCTGAAGCTCGCTCTTACTAGAGGGGGCGTTAATGAACGGGTCTGCCCTGCTGACTGGTGGGAAACTCACTGAGAGCAAAGACAAACCTCAGATCAACTTTTTCTATCCTCTCAGTGGAAACAGAACTCATTCTATGAATTGCCAACATGTTCCTCTAAACTTTATGATTAGCAGAATGCTCGGTAAATACTACTCATTAGACCTAGTGATTGTAAGCAGTTGGAGTACCCAACACAGACACACCTGCATGGCCTGAGTGCAGTTCACACTGGAGCAAGTGGTGAGCATTATCACTGTGAAGGTGTATCTGTTCTGGCTTATGGATCCCCAGGGAGTAATTGAACTACATTAACCCACCGAGAAAGCTGTCTTTAAATCTCCCTTTCCGTGGCCATGTCATCGACACTCTCCACAGCTTATGGAGTTCCATAGCTTCCTATCAGTTATGCTGCTGGTGCTGTGGTTCAAACCCACAACCACTGTGTGAGAGAAAAGATGAAGCTGCCTGTTCCTGTACAGATTTACTGTCTTGGAAACCCTAGGTAGGATCACTATGCGTAACTGACTTGATGGCAGGAGGTTTGGGGTTTTGTTTTTGTTTATTAGTTGATTTATGGGAACATGAGTTTGTCTTTTTTTTTCTTTTCATTTTTCAACTTCATCAGTTTTTATTGTGTCTCAGGCATATAAAGGGTTTTCATTTTATTGGGAATGTTATACAGCAAAAAGGAATGGCTACCTTGAAGAACACTACAAATGGTAAAATGGAGCATCAGCGATAAAGAAGGCCCCCAACTAGATTGGCTCAGTGGAGCAGTGACAGGCTCAAACGCAGCAAGGATTGTGAGGCAGGCGCAGGCCCCGGCAGTGTTTCAAACTGTTGTGCACAGGGTCATTATGAGCCGGTACCAACTCGACATCACCTAACAACAACCTGGAAAACTGTCCAGAAAATAATTAGCATCTCCTCTCTTACAAAAGCCTCGAATCATGTGCCAACTATACTCTTTGAGCTGCTTCCCGGTACGTAGGCAAGCATACGCTGATCAGGCTTCTCGCCGTGCCATTTTATGAATGTTTCTACATTAGCATGGTGGTAGTCATGTGCCATGGAGTCAGTTCAAACTCACAGCAACCCTGTACAGAGTTTCCGAGGCTGTAAATCTTTACGGAAGCAGAAAGCCTCATCTTTCTCCCGCAGAACAGCTGGTAGTTTCAAACTGCTGACTTTGAGGTTCACAGCACAATTTGTAACCATTACGCTACCAGAGTTCCGTACATTAGCATAGGTTACGGATTTTTATCAGGTAAAATGATGGATTAAATGATTACTTATAAACTGACAGCAATAAAATCCCTACCTTGATTAAGCCTTCTACCTAACACTGTAAACGCTAACCCAGACCAGACAGAGTCATCATGTAAACTTCCATGCCTTCCAGTTCCTGCTGACAAGGATCTGCCTTACTGTCAAGGCCAAAGTCACTACTGTCTCCTTACTAAGCTCTCCCTCATCTCGACAACCACTAAGGAAAGGCCACTGAGACCCTGGGAGTGCCTCTGGGAGGTTAAAGTAAACCTTGTCCTGCCCCAGCTATAGTAATCACTTGAAAAACAAAGTCAAAAAGGAGTCATCTTTTTGCTTCATTTTCCAGAGCAGTGTCGGGCCAACCGCTGAACTCTCCCAGACTGTCAGATGACTATGGTCAAAATCTGTCTCGTCTAAAAAGGGAAATCACATCCAAATCACAATGCTGTTTTTCTTTACATAATTACCGCTTCTGATATGTATTGAAGATACTCCAGAAATGATCAAATCTGTTAACTTTTTACAAAAAAAAATTTTTTTCATCTGTTTTCTTTTTTAAACATCATGTCACTTCCCCCAGTGTTTAAAAAAAGCTTTAGAAAGCCTCCCATGAATGGAGTAAAATGCAAAACCACGGAGAGAGAGAGATAAGCAAACCTCTCTGTCTTCTGGTCATACTCTCCCCTTGGTTGCACAGAAGGTGTCCGTCTCTCTTACCAGTGGCTGTTCCCCGAGTCCTGCTCAGGACGCATCTCTGCCATCCCACTCGGATACACTCAAACCTGGAGTTGCAGAAACCTCTCCACTTCTTAAAAACAAACGCTGGTGTCCCTCTAGCACATGGCCTCCTCTTTGGAAGACATGTTCAATGAACCAAAAGAAGAAACACCCATCAGGTACTGTTGAGCAGATTCCAACTCATGGCAACCTTGGTGTGCCGAGGACCCACTCCACAGGCTTTGCCATGGCCATGACGTATTCAAAGTAGAAGCACTCCTGGGTGGACTCAACTGGCCAACCTTTTGGCTAGCAGTCAAGTGTTTAACTGTTTGGTGGCACGGAACAATCTGGGACTTTATCATCTGGAGCTAAAATCTTGGGTTCAACAGAGGCTAGTTTATTTCTAGACTTCTTTAATCCTCAATTTACTTGTCTGTAAAATATGAGGGGGTCTTCAAAAAGTCCTGGGGAAAATTCCATTATCTTTGAATTCCATTATTCCACACACTCTTTTCAGATCCCTACTGAATAGTCCCTTTCCCGCTCAGAAATGTGGTGAAGATTCAAATGAGCTCCTGTTGTTGCTAAGTGTCATCGACTTAGTTTGACTCATAGTGATCCTATATAGGGTTCCCAAGGAGTGGCTGCTGGGTTTGAACCCCCAACATTTCAGTCAGCAATCTAGTGCTTATCCGACAGCAGCACACCAGGACTCCATAAACAAATAACACAAGTATTTAGCACAGTGCCTGGCACATCTGAAGTACTGAACAGATAGATGCTAGCTGCACATCATGAGCTTTCATTATAGTTAATTTCTAAATCCAATTTCTAGAAACCATAGTCAAAATTCAGTTATTTCTTTTATTCCTTTTCATTCATCCCTCATCTTCAACCTTTCTTCGGCCCCCATCCCTACTTCAAAACGGCCATGGCAGAAGTAACTGAAGACCTTCTATTGAGAAAGTCAGTGGAACATCTTCAGCTCTTGCTAGATCTCCCTGTGGAGGCCAATATGACTGACCCCTCACAAACCAGATGCCGTAACTTCTAGTTAGCTAACTCCTTCAGTACTTCCGAGGCCTTTGGAGGGAAGACAGCAGAAGGGGGAGCAGTTTTTCTTCAACCTCCCACACCAGCATCACACCTGATACACAGATGATATCTACTACGAGTTGAAAGTTACCCACGATCCTACATCACACACAAGCCTGTGTCATACAGAAACTTTCGGCACATGTGGCCCAAGGTTTTCTTGTGCACTTTCTATGACCCCTCCGGAGGGTCCCTCCACTCACCCTCTATCCTCTCGCAGAGTTTGTGCAGGCTCTGCACAGGGCAGCCCTCACACAGCTGAGCGGGGGTCTTGGAGGTCCGCTGCACCGCAGCCACGGAGAAGGCCTGCTTCAGGGTCATCATAATCTCATCCACCTGATGGAGAAGACAGGAAAAGGCAGCAAACTGCACAGCTGATTTGAGGGCTCTGTGGAACGACTCAGCATTTACAGGTTTCACTGGTCGCCAGATAATAACTGCAGTAACTGCTAGCCTTGCCGGCTGAGAAAGACTACCCAGAGGCACACATGTTGTTTTAAAGGGAAGAAGGCAAAGAACTAAAAACACATCTGAGGATAAAGACCTCTGCTCAAGAATCCAAAAGAATACGTTAAAAGGCTAGAACACAGTGTGACAGCAGGCAGGTTCTCCAAAAATACTGAAAATTGAAAATGTCCACTAGCTAGCTTGTTATTAAACAGTCATGGATGAATAATTCAAGTCAAATAATGACATGTCAGTGAGGCTGTATGACTTGGCTATAGGGGAAAAAGTCAGTGAGGGTGAAATTCCTTGTAAATAAGGCATCAAAGTGAAAATGCTGAGTCTTCTCTTACCAGAGCTTCATTTGTGCACTGAAACACGTAACAGACGAAATGAAAGCCTCCACCTCCCGAAGACTCTCTGCAGATAAACCCAAAGTGGTCCACATGTCGAATACCCTGGGGGAGGCCGGGAAAGGAGAATGGAATGTTGGGTTGTGATCAAAAGAGATTCTCAAAAATACAACTCAAGATGAATAGACTCCAATTTTAAAGAACACTACAAAATTACTTCTCTCAGATACTTTAAGATGAAAACATAAATAAGAGCATCTCTCAAATATGATGAAGACTAACATCATTTTACAAAAATGCTACTTTGATTAAGATCCAACCATTGAAATTTTCAATGTTCATTCTAGTACGAAATAAAAGAAGTGGATGAAAAGTAACATGGCAAATTTGAGAAAACTTGAAAAAGCAAAGCAATTAATACACAATACACACACTCATGCACAAAGGTTAAAATAGTTATAACATATTTAAACTCCTGAAAATAATAAGCAGATAAACACTAAATTGGTATGAAGAGCAAGTAAAAAGATACACACACAGAACAGGAGAGCTTTGAAATATAAGATACTAGAGCCAAAGCTTTCTCATGGCTTCCAAAGAGCTCTTCTCAATAAATATTAATATGCACACTTGTTTTGTAATACAGATAAAAACATCTTCCACCAACATGAATATGGCAATGCTTTCTGAAAGCACCAGCACACAGAGATAAGAGTGCTGAACGCTTGAAGTCCAGGCAGTCAAATTAAATTGCACACTGCACTACTTATGAAATAATTCAGCTATTACATAAAAAAGCAAGCATTTAGCATTAATATTTGAACTAGAAAATAGCAGCAAGTCATGAAAAAACTTTTTATACATAACGTCACTCGCAGCTCAAATATTTCCCAATCAATGAGTAGTCACGGGCACACCCTTACATCTCAAGTAATGCTCTCCAACGGCAAATGAAGACTATTCTAAAGACTGTGGAGAACCATTGTACTCTGATACACATCGGGTTGCCAGGAATCAGAACCAACTTAACAGCAACTGGTAATGACTAACAATACTGGTAAAGGTTACTTCTTAGGGGCATATGCTATAGAAGAACTTACTCTTTATAAATGGATAAAGAATGCTATTTTGACATTCTGCAGAAGAAACTGTCTTTTTGAATATTTAAGGAGAATACATTATAATTTCGCAAACATGGAGATAGTCATTCTTATTAATAATTATGGAAATGATAAGTTGTTGTTATGCAATACTGTACGGTCAGTTCTGACTCATAGCGATTTTATGCACAACAGAATGACGCACAGCCGAGTCTTGTGCTTTGATTACGTTTGAGTGCACTGCTGCTGTCACTCTGTCAATCCCTATCCCTGGGGGGCATACTCCTTTGCGCTGACGCTCCACTTTACCAAGCACGATGTTCTTCCCCATGGACTGGTGTTGTTAAGTGCCATCGAGTTGGTTCTGACTCATAGCCAGCCTGTATAGAGTTTTCCAAGGAGCAGCTATTGGGTTTGAACTTCCGATGCTGTGGTTCACAGTCCAATGCTGATCCTACAGTGCCACACCAGGATTCCTCCAGAGGCTGGTCCCCTCCGAATAACATGTCTGAACTATGAAGTATGCTTCTAAGGAGCATTCTTGCTAAATTTCTTCAAAGATAGGTTTGTTTGTTGTTCCGGCAGTCCATGATCATCTTAACGCTCTTTTATAATATTATAGCTTAAATGCGTCGATTCTTCTACAGTCTTCCTTATTCACTGTCCAAATTTCATATGCTTATGAGGCAAAAGGGTCAAGCGCACCTTGGTCCTTTCACACTGTAACACATTAAAGAGGTCTTGTATAGCGGATTTGTCTAATGCAATAGGTCGTTCGATTTCTTTGATTGTGGATCCAAGCAAAATGAAATCTTTGACAACGTTAATCGTTTCTTCCTTTATCATGATGCTATTTACTGGTCCAGTTGTGAGGCTTTCTGTTTTCTTCATAATGAAGGGCAATTCAAACAGAAGAATGTAGCTTTTGATCTTCATCAGTAAGTATTTCAAGTCCTCTTTGCTTACAGTAAATAAGGTTGTGTCATCTGCATATGTTGAGACCATGGATAGATATATAATCAGGTGTAAACGGGAACACGACTATAATAAGCTTTATGGGGATTGGTTCATAAATCGACAGTCATAATCAGGAACTGCCTGTATACCAATGCACAGACAAAGAAATTCAAAGACACAAATCAAGTGCATCCCCCTTGTAGTCCATCATCAATAGGACAGATGTCACAAGAAATCATTTTTGAACCCACTGCAATTGAGTCAATTTCCATTTACCTGAGAGCAAAATGATATCTCCTTAAAATTTTTCTCAAATGCTATTTTTTTGGTGTCAGGGCTGATGAGGTAAACTTCAGACTGGCCAATCTTAAAAAAAGAAAGAAAGAAACTAACATGAAAGTTAAATTTGAATTTGTCATACAAACTTTTAGTTTTATTTCATGATCTATGAAAATAAAGGAACAAGCTCCTAGAAAATTCTTACTATATAATGGTAGGAAATCATTCCAAAAGTGGTTAACTTCTCCTAAGGATTTCCTGCATCCTAGAATGACTATCGCTATATTCACCTGCATAAAAGTCTTCTCCTTTGTGAAAAAAGGACCAAATATCCAAAAAGTAGCAAAGTCTCAGATAGAATATCCTTTTTGTATGAAAATGAGGTTTCTACATAAGTGAATCTTGCAGACAACTAAGGCTTCTCTTTTTAAACTTTCAGAGCATTTTCTAATGATTATTTTTGACTGCAGAAACCCTGGAAGGTACATGTACTTGGCTGCTACACAAGGGCATTTAAGTCCACACAGAAGTGCCTCAAGGGCTCCTGTAGGACCAGCACTGGACTGCAAACCACAAGGTCAGTAGTTCAAACCCATCAGCTGCTCCTTGGAAACTCTATACAGGGTCGCTATGAGTTGTCACCAAGTCAACGACACTGAACAACAACAACAAGTGCCTCAGAAGGAAGACCTGGCTATCTACTGCAGAAAAAGCCAATGAAAATCATGTGGAGCACAGTCCTACTCTGATAGCAACTGTATACCGTGGTTTTAAAATGAAGATTAATATATTTTTTTCAGTACATATTATGTGTTAGGCATCTACATGTATTTACTTACCTGACTTTATAAAGATAGCACATTAAAATAGATGCATATTGCCTCACTGACTTATCATAATGTACATCTACTATGGTGAAGTCTTGGACTCCCAGAGTAGCGCTGCAGGATAAGCACTGGACTGCGAACCACAAGGTTAGCAGTTCAAACCCACCAGCTGCTCCTTGGAAACCCTATAGAGGGTTGCTGAGTCACAATTGACCCGACTTAACAACAGTGGCAAAGTTTTCTGATGCAATTCCCACATTAATTGTACACCCGCACCCACACCCCAGCTGGCTGTAGGTGGCTGCCTCTCTGGCTTCCAGGTCTCCAGATGGCTAAGTTCCTTACATTCTTGTGTATGTTTCCTAGTTTTTGTTTCTCAGGATAAAGACGTTAGTGGTCGTATCCTGATGTTGTGTAACTCACAGTTGCTTCTCTTCCTTTAGACTTTTCGTACTTTGCTGTTAAGGTACAAATCAGAGATACAAGCCTGTTGGAAACTAGGGTGCAAATCAGGAGTAATTACACTCTGAATGTGGAGTCAGTTGAGACTGCAGGTAGACAGCCTTTTACCCTTATCCTTCCATGAAGACAGTATGATGAAAAAACGTATTCCCTGTTAACAGGCAACATCTTTCTGAATTAGACGAGACTGTATGTCTCTTTTGAGCAGAAGCTAACACGTAGGTACCTGCCTTGCCTACAAGACAAGAGTAAAGATAGGAACGTTTGTCAACAATGAATAACTCTTCACTTTGGATGTGTTTAGTCTCTTCGGAGGATACCTCTAGAATGAAGACACCTACACATAATGCAGATAATCTCTACTATTAAAAAGAAGCTTTGAAATTCTAATTGAGAAGCCCTAAAGCATTATTATTTAGTTGTGGCTGAGGTGTAAAGAGAAAAGCAGAACTTAAGATTAGGTGGGGCTCTTGGTTCCCTGTCCTTTTTCCTTTTCCAACATGTTTATCCAATCATCATGTCTCATTGACTTGCCCTTTTGAGTATGTGTCTATCTTTCCTTTTCCATCCTCACTGCCTACATATTCCAAGCTACCACCATCTCTCACCTAGACTACTGCAATGGCGCATAACTCTTCTCCCCTATCTACTCTTGTCCTCCTTGAAGCACATCCTTACTCTGAAGCCCCAAACAGTCAATATCCATCTATGCTTCAAACTCTTGGGTGACTGTCCATCCATCTTAGGATGAAAACCAAGCTCCTGAGTAGGACCCATGAAGTGATGTCTAGGGAAACCCCTGCCTCTCTCACCAGCCCAATCTCCCAAACTTGCCCCTCCTTGCTCCCAGCGGAGTCACTCAATAAGTATTCACCGAGCACCTACCATGTATTGAGCTCATTCTAAACATTCATGACAACAGCAGTTAACAGAGAACAATCCATGTCTTCATGGAGATTGCCATCTCAGGGGAACAGGAGCCAGAAGATGTACTGTTGTCTATCTGTAATTATTTTAGACCATGACAAGTGCTACAGAGAAAAACCAAGCACACAAGTGGGATAAGAGATTGCTAATAGCCTCTCTGACAAGATCATTTCAGGCCAAGTTAGCATTTCTGCAGACACCTACAGGCAGCAAGGAAGAAAGACCCATGAAAATCTGGAGAGGAAGCCTGCCATGCAAAAGAAAACAACAAATGCCAAGGCTTTAGGGTTTCGCCCAGGATATCCCAGCTCTCTGGTGGGCCTTCTCACCTGCTGTTCATGCCCCCAGGATACTCAGTCCCAGCTGAGCACACCCAGCCCTCTGTTCAGTCACAATCTCCTTCCGGAAGCTTTCTCTGGGGTCCCAGCTATTCTTGCAGCAGCCCCTGCTTCTCCTTTGTAGAATTCCTCACAATTGTAACTAGATATTTACTAGTGCCATCAATTGCTTGCCATCTAGCTCCCTTCAAAGCAAAGAACATTTAAAAAAAACAACAACAACAGATAAAGTTGGGTCAGCTCCAATTCATGCTGATCCCACATGTGTCAGGCGAGACCTGTGCTCCACAGCGTTTTCAATGACTGTCAAGAGACTACCAGGTTTTTCTTAGAAGGTGCATCTAGGTGGACTCGAACTTCCAAACTTTTGGTTAGCAATCCAACTGTATTACCAGCGACTACTCCCTGGAATCTAACTGCCATGTAGGAAGTCTCGTTCACTGTTGTTTCTCATCTACTGTACAGGAAGTACCTTAAATACAAGTTACTCATTCAGTACTTAAATCAATGAACTCAACAATTTTTCCAGTGACAAGAGTTTTGTTTTGTTTTAATGTATAGATCTCAGACTGAGTCACAAGTCTAAATATTAACATAGAAATATATGAGGTCAAAGATGAAAATGGGAAGAAATAAATCAGCCCTATGAACAAGCTCCAACAACAACAGTGAACAACCACATCTTCTTGAATATAAACCTGAATACACAGCATTAACCTTTGCAGCCAACTTCCTAGTCTTCGCCAGTTCACAGCTGGGTCAGGTGAACTGGCGAAGTTCACCTATATGCATACCAATTTACTCTGATGTAAAGGGCTCCCTGGGTGGGCAAGCCCCACCCAGGAGACACCTAGATGTGCTTGAAAACCACCCAATGCCAAGCCCACAGCCATTGCGTTCTGTGCAGCTCCTACCAACCCGAGCACGGCTGCTCCACAGAGTTTCCAAGGCTATAGGTGTTCCTGGGAGAAGACGGCCTCGTCTTTCTCCCTTGGAGTCTGCGCCACTGACCTTATGGTTAGCAGTCCAATGCTTAGCCCACTACGCCAACATGAATTCTTGGTTGCAACCCAGAAACCCCCAAAATCCAGGGGCAGCTCCCTTGTCCATTCCTTTGCTGGCATTTACCTATGAGCGTTATGTTTGTCCCCCTAGAAAAAAGTAAACTCTTGGCTAAACTAAGATTTCCATTTGGGTACACATTTCAAATATCCTGCTGTCCAATCATCCTGACAATTATCCTGGTTAACAACAAGTAAAAGTTTTATAAATTAATGAAAATAGGTTAAGAGAAGACATTTCCAACTGTAAGATTTTATCCAAACGTATTACTTGAAATTAAGACACATTGTAAAAATCCACTTGGGGGCCGCTTTCACATATTTTAACATACTCTCCGTCCCAGGAAAAAAGGTGTCATCATAACCATGGGAGGAGGGCAGGATACAAATCACACAAGGATACAAGATGGATTCTCTTGCTACTTTCCCTGCAGGGGTCTAAAAGCACCATAATTAAACTGAGAATTTTATCCTGAGAATAGAATCTATGAATTCACACACAACTGCCAACAACAATTTACTAGAACCTCTGCTCAATACAGCACATCTTTTGAGCAGAGATCTGAGTGGGGACGAGCTTGAGGAGCAGTATGATTTTACCGTGAAGAGCATAGTTCGATTTTCCTCAATATCTGTTGGCTGCACAATATTGTGTCCACTAATGAGGTGATTCTCAATATCATTTTCCTCAAAGGAACTGAAAAAACGACTACTTCTTAGGCTTCCATCTTGAAGTTCCTTCTTAAAGGCCAAGGAGCAAAGTCCAGGCTGGGAGAAAGATTTCCGCATAGGTCTCCCGCCCTGTTCCTCATGACCCACCGGCTGGAACACAGAGCGGACTCTATTTGTTAAGGAGAATCCCCCTGCAGAGTTTTGGGACAGCTGGTCAAATTCTGCTTTACGGCTACAACTGATGTGATTGAACTTCTCGATGCACTCGTCTATCAGCGCTGGGGGGGCTTTCTTGTGTGCCACCGTCACTCGGCCACAGAAGAGCACCTCGAACTTCTTGGCAAACGTATCATCAAACTCCGATGGGCAATGGAGCTCCTCCTGGCGGGCGATCTTCCCAGCCTGTCTGATGGAGCTGATGATCTCAGGCACCTACCAAAAGAGGAAGCAGTGTTACTTGGAACATAGCAGTGTCGGCAGACATTCACACATTGTACATGACTGAAGGAGGGATCCCATGTAGAGTACGGTACTATAAATGTCTTCCCATAGGAGGTACACAACTTTTACAGAGGAGAGAAGGGGAACACTAGTAGGACTAGGAAGCAAAGCCTGGTGCTCAACTTCTAAAAAAAAAAAGAAATCAGCCAATGAACATTCTATGGAATGGGAAAGTCCAAAGCATTCCATTTTTATTAAGCATGGGGTCTTCATGAGTTGACGGCCCGATTTAAAAGCAGCTGACAACAACCACCTGTGTCAGGGGCTGTGCTCGAGGATTTGCATGACCACCACACTCTTCCAAGTTAAGTAAGCAGTCCATGGATGCATACAGAACTCACTGGTAGAAGGACAAGGATTTCAACCCAATTGTGTCCCACTGCAAAGTCAAAGGTCTGCTCTGGAGAAGAGTTGTCTTTTAAAGTACTTTTCCTCCACTGTGACTCACCGAGACCTCATATAGTAACAGTTATTCCAGGATTCATGGCACTGGGTCCCTAGAAAGTCTTTCAGATCACATGGTGGGATGAAACTGGCAAGCAAAAGCTCTGGAGGAAATTATAAGCTATGTATTCAAATCATAATTTCATTATTTTCTTCAATGACAATAGACAATTAATTACTTAAGTTCTATATTTTTTGGTACGTGGCTGCAATAATGGGCACAAGCATGCATAGTAGTAACATCCTGAGGATGATACATCCTTTTCGGGGGGTGGCTAAAAATCCAAATTATTTGTCAGCATCTCAAGGCAATAGAATTCACATCAAGTTTTTCACTTTTGGCCTGTGATTTTTCATGAGATCTGGCCGCCCTGAGCCCACACCCCCACCTGAAGCACCGTCTCCACAGCTTCGCTGCATACTAGTAGGGAGGCCTCTTCAGCTTCACTCCACTGTGCTGACACTAAGTCAGTTTCAGTATTCACGGAATCCAGGGGGATTCACAAAGTTCATGGAAATTTCCATTATCTTTTAATTCCATTTTCCAATGAACTTTTGGAGTCCCCTTACATTTGTGAATTCACCTATTTGCTAATAATAATAATAAGTGGGGCACTGGAGAACCGCGTCACAAATATTTTCATGAGCACAGCAGCAAACAATTCCCAGCTGTAAGTGAACAAGAATCCGTTAATTCAGTGTTCACAGCAACTTTGTAGAACATAACTACAGCGAACAAGAGTCAACTGAATTAGTTAGGTCCTTGTAGACATTTGAGGTTGTGGACCTGACGTTCGTGTAGGGGTTCTGAGGGGTTTGTGGCAGAGAAAGGGGTGGGGGCGGGGGGGCTGCCCAAGAAACTGGTTCCCAATGAGCTCTCCAGAGCCCGACCTAGCCCAAACCAAGGCAGAAGAAGAAGAAGGTATCCATCTCTCACTGATGCTATCCTGAGTCTACTGTGTGTAGGATCTGTGCCAGGGGGCACTCCTGAGCCCACAATCAAGCTGAGGAGGGAGAATACAGTGTGTTTCATTCTGTTGTCTATAGGGTCACTGTGAGTTGTTAATGACTCGATGGCACCTAACAACAATAACAATGTATTTTCTGATAATTAACGAGTACGACTAAAAAGCTAGGAGATTCTGATAAAGGACTACGCAGTGAGCATCATTATCATCATGTTGTGCACAGGGTAGCTATGAATTGGAACCGACTCAACAGCACCTAACAACATCATTATCACAGCAACAAAGTGAGACATCTTCAAACGGGACTAGAAAGCCTTTGGTTTCTAATGTAAAATCATGATTAAGAGAATGGACCACAGGTTCTCATCTGAGATGGTATCATCCATCCCTACTGCCAAAACCTTCATCATTAGCTTCTTATAAAATCCTTCAACAAAGCAGCAGCCATAACGAACGATGAGACCACAGCTGTAATGAGCAAACACCCGTGCAAGCATTGAAATGGTGTACAGTCTTCAGACTAGATTTTATACTCACGGCCAGTGAAAACAAGACAGACAGACATTTAACTTTGAAAAGGAAGACGGGTCAAGTTTTTGTTATGACCTAACACCCAACCCCCAGCCCCCTTTTTTTTCCCCTTTATTCTAAAGTAAGGAAAGTTCCATTTCAGGCCAAATAACAACATTATGCTGTTGCTACTGCTGCTGTTATATGCCACCGAGTCCGTTCTGAATGTATAGGATTTCCAAGGAGCAGCTGGTAGGTTTGAACTGCTAACCTTGTGGTTCTCAGTCTACAGAAGGGGGAAAACTAAATTCCTTTTTAATTAAGGTCTAATATCAACCAGTAGTAAAGGGAGGTGGTTTCTATAGATTTTACAACTGTGCTTACATTCAATGTTCGTAACATAATCCCCAAAGACCCAATGACTAGAAAGATTATTCTCTTTGTAATTTCATATCAAGCACACCTTACAAACAATCTCTCTGTCATAAAATTATGATATATCTTTTCAACGTATTTTATCATACAAAGACTAAAAATATCACTAGGGATGCTTCCTATTTAAAATAATGTTTCCTGAAGCATTACGACTTTTTAGCAACATAAATAAACTGAAATATCCACAAATGTCCAGCACCTATTTGCACTGAGTGTTGGTTGTGATGTAGCGTACTGTGGACTATGACATGGGGAACCTAAAATATGTTAATAATCTCAAAAAAAAAAAAAAAGACAGGACTGAAAGAAGAAAGAGGTAGACATTTTAGGTTTCCTTCACATCTTTGTCAATATTCAGTCCAGGAAAAACAGTAATTCACTCTTGGCAAAACACAGCCTGTTTTTCTGTTTTAAAAAGAAAGCTACTTCTATGAGGATATATATATGTGTTGTTATAAGGAGCTCTGGTAGCGTAGTGGTTACGAATCGGGCTGTGAACCGCAAGGTCAGCAGTTTGAAACTACCAGCCGCTCCGCGGGAGAAAGATGAGGCTTTCTGCTCCCGTAAAGATTTACAGCCTCGGAAACCCTGTACAGGGTCGCTATGGGTCGGAACCAACTCAATGGCACTTAACAACAACAACAACATTGCTATTAGGTGCCATTGAGTCAGTTCCGACTCAGCGACCCTATAAGACACCACGACCCTATAAGACACCGCCCAGTCGTGCGCCATCCTCACAAGTGTTCTTTGAATCCATTGTTGCTGCCACTGTGTCAATCCATCTCACTGAGGTCTTCTTTTTTTTCTGTTGACCCTCCACTTTACCAAGCATAATTTCCTTCTCCAGTCTACCACCAACATGACCAAAGTAAGAGAGACAAAATCTCGCCATCCTGACTTCTAAGTAGCATTCTGGCTGTACTTCTTCCAAGACAGATTTATTTGTTCTTCTGGCAGTGTATGCTACTTGCAATATTCTACACCAACATCAAAATTTAATTGTACCAATTCTTCTATGATCTTCCTTACTCACTGTCCAGCTTTCACATGCATATGAGATGACTGAAAATACCACAGCTTGTGTCAGGCATACTTCAGTCCTCAAAGTGAAATCTTTGTTCTTTAACACTTAAAACAGGTCTTTTGCAGCAGATCTGCCTAATGCAATACATTGCATTCTGTACCCGTACAGATTTCCAACCAAGGAAACCTTATCCAGGGTTGTAAAGAGTCAGAACTGACTCCATGGCACACCGACCAGCAGTCAAAGACCAGAAAGTCTCTTCCTGCTACACTCTAGAGAGCCTAATTTGTCAGACTTCATTTTTCTTGAGGGTTGTGAAGGTCAGGGTGAGGAGTATGCCAACATCGAGAAGCACCAGGTTGTGAAATACAGGTAGAAAGGAGAGAGCTGGCATTTTAAAAACAAAAATCACTGAGTTACTACTGCCTAGAAGAGTGTAACATTTTCAGATTATCTGAAGGCAAATGACATATTGCCAAATAGAAGTACAATCATAACTTGCAAATAGTTTAAAATCTATTGCTCTTTAACCATTGTTGTTGTTAAGTGCAGTGGAGTCGGTTCCAACACACTGTATACGGTTTCCAAGGAGTGACTGGTGAGTTTGAACCACCAACCTGCAGTTCAAACTGACCTTGCAGTCCAGCACATTAACCCACAGCACCACACCAGGACTGTTAGTTACCAAATTGGCTATGACTCATAGCAACCTTACGTAAAACAGAACAAAACGTCGTCTGGTCCTACACCAGCTTCATGACTGTTGGTTTGACTCTTCGGTGGGGTGACTATGTAGTGCCTTCCAACCCAGGAGTCTTGTCTTTCAGCACTATCATCCTAGTTGCTGTTGGTACGAAGTATCTATGAAGTGCCTTTGGGTCAGTTCCGACTCGTAACTATTTAAATAGACGCTTCTTTAAGGCTTTATTGATAAGTATAGTTCTCCTTACCAGAACTGAGCTAGGACACGCAATTTACACTGACAGACGGATTGGATCTGTACATAAAGAGCACTAGCCAAGATTCAAACCTTGGGCTCCTGCTGGAAGACAGAATTTTCCACTGAACCACCACTGCCTCAAATGCCAACATCAACTCCCCATCTGTAAACTTAATTCACAAATGGCCTCAGGATAAAAGTTTGTTGTTGAGTACTGTGGTGTTGGTTCTGGTTTATAGTGACCCTGCACAGGGTTTCCAAGGCTGTAAATCTTTGTTGTTGTTGTTGTTGTTATGTGCCATGTAAATCTTTACAGGAGCAGAAAGCCTCATCTTTCTCCCACAGAACAGCTGGTAGTTTCGAACTGCCGACCTTGAGGTTAGCAGCCTGATTTGTATCACTATGCTATATGAAGTGTTTCAAGGAGATCATGGAAAAATGGAATTTCCACGAACTTTTTTAAGCCCTTTCATATATTTCATGTCACAATATTTACAACAAGCTCACAGACTGTGTGTGGCCAATGGTTTATTCCCACCAATGTGATCTGGGTACGTTTAACAAAAAGATATTTTTAGTTTAGTTACGGCAATCATATGTACGTCAC